CTCAACAAATATCCAACCCCCCTCCCCAACCCCTCAATTTTTCCCATTCCAACTCCCCATTTCTCCCGCCTACACGCCCCAGTGACCTCAGGCTGAGAATAATTCGTATTATTTTTACAAACAAACTCACTCTCCTGAAGCCTGATTTCTCTGAGACCCGATTTATTTCCATGGATACCCCCCCTCCTCCTCTGCTTTCACCTCTTCTTCGGGTTCTCTCCCACCCCTTCCCTGCCCCCCAACAGAGCTCTGACTCAGCTCTCCCTCCTCTACAAAGGCCACCTCCCCCTCCCCTCTCCCACTCTGCCCGCCCCATCTCCCTTCTCAGTGTTCTCTGCCTGCCCCATTCCAACCTCTCGGCCTCGACGTCCACCTTACCCCCACACCCCAGCCTCTGGTCTGACCCATCTCACCACTGCCCAGTAGCCCAGAGAGAGAGCTGGCCCACTCCGGAGGGGCCCTACCCCGCTCAGTCCCCTTGACCAGGAGCCCTTCCTTTTGCACTAGCTATGTTGAGGGCCTCCTCGGGCCCAAGACCCCGTCCGGTTCACCCTTCTCAACAGTGGTCCTTTCTTGAATTGAGTCAGAAAACAGCACGCGTGGAAGGGACCTATCTGGTCAGGTGGTACATCAGCCATCTGATGCTTCATTCTCTCTTCACCTATCCAAGTGGTTCTTCCCCAAGCCTTCCAGGAGGCACCACCCAGGCCTCCGGCCGTCAGTCTCCCTTTACCAGGAGCTCTGGCCTCACCTTACCAATCGCCATTCTTCCTGCGCCCACCCCGCCCCCACCCCCTGCAGCCCTCAGACTCCGTTCGCAGCCTCCCGTTGGTTGTCTCCTGGCTTCTCTTTGACTTGAATGCCTATTCTTTCGGTTCCTCCCACTGGCCCCCTCCACTCCTCCTTAATCCATCACTTGTCTCCCAACAGTCAGGTAAAATGATTCCATCTCTTGGCTTTCTCTGCTCTCACGGTTTCTGGGTGAACACACCCAACTCCCGCCTCTCTCCCCACCAAATCCTTCTTGTCAGATGAATTCAGATCTTCTTGTGAGACAAATTCGCCAACTCCTGCTGAGGGTCCACTACGTTCCTTCCAATTCACAGATAATACAGTCCACATGTAGAGAAGTCCCACCGTATTTCTAGAAACATAATAGATGAAAAGCACAGCTCCCATGTACGTGCACATGGAAACCCTATAGAAACCCTCAAAGATTCCTCAGGCAGAACAGAGGACCGTTTTCCTGCCAAAACTCAACCACGGACCCCTCCATTCACACAACTAATAAGGCCACATACCACTTTTTCTGAGTGTGCTAGTCTTGGTTGAGATCAAACTGAATATTTTGGCTCAGAATTTATATTGCTCCTGCCACAAATTTGGGGAGAGTAGGGATGTACGAGGAATGGGCAGTCGGAAGAGGGAGCGGCAGCTGGCGGGGAGGGCGGGCTCTGCCTCCGTGTGTGGCCTCAGCTTTGTAAGACCGAGGAGGGGCCTCGTGGGTGGGGAGCAGGGAGGTGAGGTGGAGCAACTAACCCACTGGCCCCTTCAGGGAATGAGGTGATCGCAGTGGATTGGAAGGGCCTGAAGGATGTCGACCAAATCAACATGGACAGCACCAGCTCGCTGCACGGGAGCAGCCTCCACCGGCCATCCACTGAGGTGAGCCCCCCATCCCAGGTGCTCACCGCAGGACCTCTGAAAGACCCCAGGAACAAAGCCGCCCAACTGCTCACCCTTGAATTCTCTGCCTAAATCCCAAACACTCCTTCAGGCTGACACTTCTACAGAACATTTCTCCCACATTCCTCAAAATACAAGCCAAATGTTCTGCACGGAAATCCTCATTCCCGATGCTGATCTCAGGAAAGGCCTCCCTCCTTCACACCCTTCTGGAAGTCCCTCGGAGAGGGGGGGTGGGGTTACTCACATTCCTGGAAGTGCTTGGGATACCCACTCCCTTTCCTCTCTCCCGACAGCAAACCCGAACCGATTTCTCCTGGGATGGCATCAACGTGAGTGTGGCTTCCCCCACCCCAGCCTTCCCCCGTCCAACCTAACTCCTCTTCCTCGCATTCTCCCTTGGGCCTTTCGCTGGACACAGTGCTCCCTGCTTCCAGAAGGCACTGTGAGCCCTCCCATTCTCTGCCTATGCCCCAGATTAGTAAGGGTGGGTGGGGGCGATGTGCCTCCTTGGGATCCCTGGGTATGGTGGTCGCCCTTATCGACTGCCCTAGCTCAGATCCTTCCTCCTGGAAACCACGAGCTCTCCCCTGCAGACAAGCACCCCAACACCCTCTTACTCCTCTGCCTTTCCTCCCATACCCCTACTCCAGCTCTCCATGGAGGACACCACTTCCATTCTTCCCAAGCTTAAGCGAAACTCTAACGCCTATGGCATTGGGGCCCTGGCCAAGTCATCGTTCTCAGGTGAGACGCCCTACTTGGGGATGTGTCCAGAAAGGAGATTCCTACAGGCTCCTGGTCTCAGTCTCCCTGCTCCTTTAGGCCTTCTGTCAGGCCTCCCCCATCCTCCAGGCTGCCTTCCGATACAGAGCTCTAGGGGAGCCTCCCCGCCAACCCCCATGGGCTGGGGTCCCCTGGCCCTGGGTGCCTGGGTGGGGATAAGGGGGAGGATCTGTTATGGGTATTGTGTAATGTTCTGGAGGATGTGGGGACTGTCTGGCTCCTCAGGGATTTCTCGAAGCATGAAGGACCATGTGACCAAACCCACAGCCATGGGGCAAGGCCGGGTGGCCCACATGATTGAGTGGCAGGGCTGGGGGAAGGCACCAGCCATTCAGCCGCAACACAGTCACGAGGCCGTACGCAGGGACACTGATGCCTACTCCGACCTCAGCGACGGCGAGAAGGAGGCGCGTTTCCTCGCAGGTACTCCCCCCTCCCCACAGCCCTTAAGAGGCACATTTCACGATGGCCAAAGACTGACCCTCCAGCCCCACCCCTGTGGCAAGATTGGCTCTGTCCGTACGAAGGCCATCAGACTTAATTTCCCAACCAACTCAAATTTCAAGTGCTTCGATTTGTGAATTCTGATAAATCCCCTCAAACTTGCTTTTATTATCATCTCAGAAGTTGAGGGGAATTGACATGGGATTAAGGGTCCACCCGATGCTTTCTCTCCCACATGGTGGGACTCCCTCAGTACAGTATGAAAAGGCAGGGGCCACGGGCTCCGCGAGGCTCTGCTCCTACTCCTGTTTCTTGAGGAAAAAGAAAAGAAAGGCCTTGGGGATCTTTTGTAGCCTTAGCCCCTGTGCCCATCACAGTCATGGATTCCCATACCGGGCTCCTTCCTGGTGACAGCCACTAGAGGATCAGTGGACCTGGGTGACGGGAGGGTGGTAGACGGGAGGGTGGTAGACGGGGGATCCTACCTTCCAGGAACGTAGTGTAGTTATGAGACAGGCGTGTAGTGCACCCACGATGGTGGCTGAGCCCTAGTGGCAGGTCTCAGTCAGATACCCGATTGATAGATGTGCAGTAAGATACCCGATTGATAGATGCTGGGAGTGTGGGTGGTGGGAGAGATATCAGGAGGGGAGACAAACATATAGCGGGTGTAGGGCAGCTAGCAATGTAAGCTTCAGCTTACTCAGGGCCTCGACTGGAGTAGAGACCCCCAAGTCTACCGAACCTCACTATTCTACCCTCCCTCCCTTCTTCCAGTCTCTTGGGCTTTCAACTTGATACCACCGTGGACCTACAATCCCATGATGCCCTTGGGGTTTCTCTGTGGATCTTGAGCGCCCCCCCAACCCCAATCTAGATTCCTCTGTTCTTGACTACCTAATACTAGCTACCATTCCTAAAAACGCCCCAAGATAAACTTCTGCAAGTTCCTAATTTCAATCCCTTAGCATATCTCACCAGAAGACCCC